TATACCCCCGCCGATGGGCTTCGGCGGGGGCTGCGGAGAGGGGTCGCTCTCCCGTAACACGCTCGGCGCGCGTGTTGTTTAGTCGGAGTTGTGGCGCTGAGCGCCAGGGGCGGCTGGTCGGCCCCTTGTGGTTGGTGACGAGGCGGGGGCGTATCGTCACATCACCCCCCCTCTTAAAATGCGTGGACCTCTACGCACCAGCTTCCCCTCTGGCCGGCAGCTCCCTTATGGCCCGGATGCCACCCTGGTGGTCAAAACGGATCAGCCACCGTCCCTGGGCATTCTCGGCTCGGTATCTACGGTTACGGAATACCGCCGAGTATGGCACCAGTGCCGCCTCCCTGCGTGGCAGAGGCACTCTCACTGCCTCAGCCCCGCGGTGTGCAGGCACCGGTGGCGCCCTGATGGGTGGCGGTTGGGCGCGTATTCCAGGGCCGGTGGTGACGGCGTGGCACGTGACCGGCCTCGGTGGGATCGGTGGCCGACTGCTGGCGGGTGCGGGCCTTAGTTGGTGGAGCCGGCGGGCGGATGGTCCTTGAGCCGCCGGTGGGGTGGCTGCGGCCTTGGCCAGTACGGCTCGGCTCGACTCCCCCCGGCCGATGGTCTTGGGGGCCGGGGCGGGCGCTGGTCGTCGGGGCCCGGCTGTCGGTCGCGGTCGGCACCGCGGCCGCGGCTGCCTCGGTGGTGGTGGCGTCACGAGGAACCGGGCCCGTCGCTGGGTCTCCGCGTCACCCCGCTGGATGTAGGTACCCACTCGGGGTACCGGCCGGCGGTTGCTAGTGTCGGGGCTGGTGGTCGGCCCCGACTTTTCCGGCGTCCTGGTGCCATCGAGGCCGGTCGTCGGTCCCGGGTCCTCGGCACGGCCGTCGTCGTCGTCGCTCACCTCCAGATCTTGGAGGAGTTGAGCGGAGACAAACCCTTCCAAGATATCGCTCATCGTTGCAGGCGCTTATCCGTAAGCTTACTCGTAAGCTGAGCGAATCGTCCGGTCATTGACCGCGCGGCTCTATTTATACTCGGCTTCGGTCGGCGGCTCGGCCCCGCCGCACGCATTTCACATTGCTGACGTCATGATCGGCGGTTGTGGTGACGTCGGCAATGTCGGTGCCGTTGGCGATGCTGGTAACGTCGGTAACGTCGGCAATGTCGGTGCCGTCGGCGACGCTGGTAACGTCGGTACCGTCGGCAATGTCGGGCGCGTTTTTCAAATCCTGTACGTGGATGTGGCGCTGCCAGCGCCCGCGGGTATCCCGGAGATCGACGATAACTGGTGATACGATGCGCCGCACTTCCCAGGGGCCGCTGTACCGAGGTGCCAGCTTTGCGTTGAAACCGGTCGCCTTTTTGGAAAGAGGGTGTTCTCTTTTCCACACGAGCTCTCCCACTTTGGGCCTCCAATTGCGTCGGCGCAGGTTGTAGTGCGCTTCCTGTTTCTGGAAGGCCCGAGCCATACCGATTCTGACAACTTCAAAGGCGTCCTCTAATCGGCGCTTGATCGACCGGGGTGCCTGGCCCTGTCTTGGTCGGCGGTCGTCCGGGTGTGGTAGGGCAAGTTCGCGACCGTGGTTGAGGTACGCGGGTGTGTAGCTGGTGGTTTCCTGGCGTGCGGTGTTGTACGCATATTGTAAGGGGAACAGGTGTTCGTTTCACTTCCGATGATTTTTGCCCACGTACATGCTGATCATGGTCTTGAGCGTCCGGTTCGTGCGCTCGACCGGATTGCAGTGCGGGGCTCGGACTGGTGTAGTTCGGTGGCGGATCCCAAACGCCTTGAGGAGCTCTGCCAGTTGCGTGGATTTCAACTGAGTCCCGTTATCGGAGATAATTTGCTCCGGGCACCCATGCCGGTATATCACGTCCTCGGCAATCGCGCGGGTGACTGCCGGCGCGGTGGCCCGGTGCAGCGGTCGTAGCTCCACCCACTTGGTAAACCGATCCTGCATCACCAGTAGCCAGGTATGTCCTTGCGTCGACCGGGGAAGTGGCCCGATCAAGTCTAACGTGACTTGCTGCCACGGCGCGGTGACGGGTGCGGTGTGCAGGTTCCCGGCCGGTTTTCTGGTCGGTGCCTTGTGTGCCAGGCAGACGGGGCAGTGCCGTACGTAGTGGGTGATGTATTGAAACATCCCCGGTCAGAAATATAGTTTGGCCATGCGTGCGATGGTCTTTGCTACTCCCAGGTGCCCAGCGGTTGGGTCATCGTGATGGCGGCGCAGGAGTTCTTGCCGCTCCTCTCGTGGGACACACCTTTTCCACTGGTCATTTGGGTCGACTTCCCGAAAGTCCACTTCGTGGAGGACGTGCCGATATAGTCGCCCCTTGTCTAACCGATAGTCCGGGTAATCGGCTGGTTGACGTTGTAGGCCCGTGACGATACGCCGGTACCACCCACACTTGGAGGCGCTGCAAACTTCTGGCTGTCGTGACAGCGCGTCCGCGACCTTGTTGGCACTGCCCTTCCGATATCGGATGTCGAATTCGTATTGCTGGAGCTCGAACATCCAACGACCCAGTCGGCCCCCCGGTTCTTCCAGGTGTTGCAGCCACCGCAGTGACTGGTGGTCGGTTACGACAGTGAATCGATACCCCTCTAGGTATCCGCGCATCTTGCGAATGGCCCAGACCACGGCCAAGCATTCCAGCTCGGTGGCACTATAATTCTTTTCTGCCCCCTGTAGTGTGCGGCTAGCATAGGCGATTACTCGTTCTCCGTCTTCCAGATGTTGAGTGAGGACGGCCCCGAGTCCGTTTGCACTGGCGTCGGTCTGGAGGACGAACCGGCGGCTGAAGTCGGGGCAGGCCAGCACCGGTGCGGTTAACGCGGTCTTGAGCACGTTGAATGCGCTCTCCTCGTCCGGGCCCCAGGTCC